GAATTGTTCAAAATCATGTGCTAAAATAATAATTATATAATTTTATACAATTAAAATTTTAAATATAATCAAAATATACATATATTTATATATTTACGGATCGGATCGGATATCCGCTTTCCAAAATTTTAATATTTGTGATTTGCTTCGATTTTAACGGATATTGAATTTTAGTATTTGCTTTGATTCGAAAGTTTACTGATATCTGGAATTTTTGGATCGAATCGAAACAAATAACGGATCGAATCAAATATAACGGATAAAATGCCCAGCCTTACTTAAAACATGCCGCATGACAGTGGTCAAGTCGCAGGCGAGATCTAATATATCAAATAAATTAAGTAATTATAATAAAAATATCTATAAATATTTAGCATAGTTCTGGGTGTTTTAAAATTATTGAAATATTTTAAATAACAAATAATATTTACATATCAACTTTTAAATAACAATAAATTTTGAAACTTTATTGAAAATATTAATAAAAATTATTTTAGTTGATACAAAAATAATTCTTTTATATATATATATATAACATATTTCACATATTTTATTTGAAATATCTACAATCTATAATTTAAACCTACTATAAATTTAACTATAGTAAATTTTTTTACAAAAAAGCTATAATAAACAATTTTACATCTACAACCAATTTATTTTCAGCTAAAATTGTACAGTTAAATAGTTAAATTTTTACAGATCTATAGTTATTTATATACTTTGTCGACTTTAAAAAGTTTATATAAGCACATGTCTTTCATAGGGAATAATCTCTTTTATAAAGTCGATACATTTTTATTTCATGTCAATTGGCGGCGAGTCGGCGACCTATAATATAAGTAACAACCAAATATATTCGCATACACATCAACTCAACAAAAACCCCACTCCCAAGTCTTCTTTTTCACAATAACTAAGATTGATCTTATTTAAATTTAAATAACCAAGATCAAGAATATATCAAAAAGAAATTTGAGCCAAAAGCTTCGATATTCATATTCATGTAATCTAAGATGTACTCTATATATACTTTAAAAAAAATACTATATTGTTTTCATTATACTGAACAATATACAAGGACATTTACTGATATACATATGCTAGATATGTATATTCTTTTGACTGTCATGGATGGATCTACATGTCGACTTCAAGACACGTGGGATTGAAGATTGTGTTCAGACAGGAGTTACATTTTCAGAAACAGTAACTAAAGGTACATTTCTGCTATAATTTCATTTTAACATTTAAAAAAAAAGTATTATAACAACTTATCTATTACACTATCACTGTCTACTGCAAAAATATGATTGTTTTGCCATGTGACAGTTCATCTGACATTGTACACATCTTGCGACTATTCATCAATTATTCCCTCCTTCATTCTCTCCTATACTTTTTTATTGCGATAATTGCAAAATGATAACAAATCCTTTACATTTTGAAAAAAAATCCGCATTGTATGAAAATTCAAAAAATATCTAATTTATAACTATTTTGTCACGGGTTGAAACTTTTTCTCACAATTAACTTTTATATATTCAAAAGCTGGACTTTGTGGCCATATATGTATAATTGAACTCTGGCGAAACTAAACTGTTGGACTAATGTCCTCGTCCAAAATAACCCCACTGTTTTTGTACTTGCGATAAGAGCCATAGACCTAACTTTTTACATGTTAAATCCAAGTTTGAAATCAATCTCATCATCGAAAAGGTAGATCACACAAAACAAAACATAAAATAGGGCTATTGGCCCAATTTGTGGACCATGAGAAAGTGAGAAAAGATTGTCATTTCGTTATCAAGCAGCAGTGTAACACCACAAAAGCGCCCAATAGCTAAGAAAAGGTCCAATAACAAACAAAAGAAAAAGCTTTGTTTCCTACACGTTGTCGTTTTCCCTGTCTAGACAATGATTGATTCGCCCATGAGGTTGTTCGTTTCCATCTAGATGAACATCCGGATGCAGATGAGATTTTTGTTTGTTTGGAGTTTAAATTACAAGACATCTGAATGAAGTTTATAAATTTAGGTTTAATTTTAAAAACCATCCAGCTGAACCAAATTGAACCATCTCGATGGAGATTATCTTGTCAAAATGATATGATTAGGATGGACGTTAGGATACCCATTCGGATTTGGTTTGGATCTATTTGGGTTTAAAATTTCAGTCTAATTCAGGTATTTATAAATTTTGGTTTGGATCATTGCAGATTTCGGATAACCCGTTTAAATTATTTTTTTTAAATTTTTCGAAAGTTAAAAATAAAAATAATATATAACATATAAATTTGAGTAATGTATACCATAATACATAAGCTTAACATAAAAGTTGGTTTAGATTGAATATTTGGATGAACCATCAATAGATATTCTAAGTAATTTTGTGTTTTGAGTATTGTTTAGCTAATTTAGATATTTACTTTTGACTATTTGTATATGTTTTCCAAATATTTTGGAAAAATTCAAAATATCTCATACATTTTGGATATGTTATTGGATATTAAATCGAAAAAACTAATATATCTAAGTATTTAAATTTGATTCGGATATATTTGGATACCTGAAATATTTCGGTTCGGATCGGTTCGGTTCCGGTTCTCTAGATACAAAATTTTTTGAACCTGTTAGGATATTTAACCAAATTCGGTTCGGATTCAGTATTTTATATCAGATTCGGTTCGTTTTTTGGGATTAGGATTTTTTTCCCAGACCTAGATCTGATATCTTTTTTTTTTGAATCTAAATGTTAAATTTATAACTCAAAAAAAAAAAAGACCTTTACAGAATGTTTCAGAAAATAGAATAAGCAAATACAATTGAAAACTTCTGATATCCATTTAACCCCTTTCTTCTCTGCCAAGCAACCTCCAAGAACACTGCATTTTTATGAAAAACTACTCCAACTCAGCTCTCACTCCTACTGAGCACCTAGCACTCACTCCTACTAGGCTTTTGAAACTCAGCTCTCACTCCTACTGAGTCCCCAGCTCTCACTCCTACTGGGACAGAAACACAACCATCGAAAAACACTTCATTCAAACCCCAAGCTTCAAATCCACGGCTAACTTCTTATACCTCTCTTTCTTCTCTTATGCTAAACCACTCAATCATTCCTCCTTCGTACTCCTTATCTCCTCTCCTCTTAATGACTGTGAATTTATTTCTTATATTCTTATCAAGCCTTTTCGCTAGGAGAGTAGCAGAAACAGAGGATTCACCATGTCTCCTTCTGTTACGTTCCTGCCAAATCATATAAATTGCTGACTGGAAAGCATATCTCAGGATGAATATCTTGATCTTACTCCAATTAGATACCCCCGTGATTAAGCTAACAAGCCTATCCCAACACACAGTAAACCGGTCTTGTAATAAGCCTTTTGTAAGAGCCTCCCAGACTTGTGTCGAATAAGAGCAATCAAAAAACAAATGGCTGAGAGTCTCTAGAGGCTCTTGACACAACACACAAGAAGTATCGACATTTGTGCTCCAACTCTGCATCCTATCCCCTGTTGACAGTCTCCCACACATAGCAATCCAAGTAATAAAGCAATATTTTGGTGTCGCATGCTTAAACCATACAGCCGGATGCCAAGAGCAAAGAGTATGTTGTTCTCTAATGCTGAGCCAAGTCTCTTTTGTGGAAAAAGACCTTTTATACTTCCCTTTCTCAGTTCTCCACAAAGAGACATCATCTTCTTGTACCCAATTCTCTTTAACTTTCTCAATCTCCTTCTCAATTAAATTGAAGATCTCAACACGATGATGCCTTCTCCTATGATTCATACTCTCCTCCACGGTAGCATTGATCGGGATACCCATATCAATATAACTACCTTCTCTTACTACATCCTTCAAACACCCCAATGAAGACCACCTCTCATGCCAAAAGAACGTATGTCTACCATTTCCAACCTCCACTTTGTAGAAATCCTTAGCCATGTCTCTACAATGGAGAATTTTCCTCCACATCCACGAACCACCTTGGGTGTTTTCTTTAATCGTCCATATTGATCCCTTCCTAATAAGATAAATCTTTATCCAACTTACCCATAAAGATTGAGCAGATAAGATTCTCCATATAAGCTTTAGACAGCAAACCTTATTTACTTCTTTTAGTGGCCGTAAACCAAGACCTCCCTCCTTCTTCATTTTACACACATCCTTCCACGAAATTTTAGCTTTCTTCCCATTCAATGCTGGTCCAGACCACAGGAATGCTGAACAAATTCTCTCTATCTCCTTGACACATCCACTAGGAAGCTTAAAAGCTGCCATCCAGAAATTGGTAAGACTCCTTATGACAGAGGTAATAAGCTGAAGTCTTCCAGCATATGACAGGAATCTCCCTGTCCAAGAGCTTATTCTTTTCCTTATTTTTTCGACTAAAGGGAGAAAATCAGCTATAGTCATATTCTTAGTCATCAGA